CAGAAAGCGTTTATAATTTATTTATTGTGATGTCTCGGGAGAATTTTACGTTGAGTTCGTAAGAATATCGAGAAAATTCAGCTTGAGATATGTTATATTAACGAGTGCATTCCGAGTATATTCGGAAGATTCTAAATAATTATAACTTTTACCATCTTTCATTGTAAGTTTTAAAAATATTTTGCTGACGTATCTTATATAAATATAACGCACAAGAAATTCTTTGAACAAAATTAAAAATAGGGGAACGAAAAATAATAAATTTAATGAATTTTTAAAATAATATAATAGTTTAATAATAACTTGAAGCTAATTTTTATTTATTTAAAAATAAGCTCATTCACGCTTAACTTAATTATTACAGACACTAACCTAATTTTATATATTTACGTTTAAATTTTTCAACGTTTATATATTGAATACTAAATTTATGAGCTTGTGTGCTAGTTTAAATGGTTGTTAATTGCACGACTGATATTACTCGTACGAATTAGATAGTTGGGTGATTAAACTACTTGTTTTCTAAATAGTTGCAATAATTATAGATGCATAGATTAAAACCGGAAGTGACAAATAAATGAAACTGTGGCAATATTGCAGAAGTTTTAATTAATAAGAGATGTGAAAGAGCGTAGAAAGGAAAATAGTGAATGTGGATCACTATATAGTATTCTCATTATATTTCTCATTCAAACATATTATTTCTTTATTAAAATAAACGATTTTCAAACGACGATCTGATTTGAGATTTTATCATAAAATTTCCCACGTTAATAACTGTCTTAGAATAAACTATTACATTGTAATTTTAGAAGCAATTTTATCTTTAGATCTGTTAGAAATAAATCTGCATTTAATTATGCAAAAATATTAGTTAAAAGAGGAAAAATGTTAATGCGTTATAATGATATGTTTATTTATTAGAAATATATCAAGTAAAAAACAATAGATATTTTATTTTAAATTATATTTATATAATTAAGCTAAATTTTTGGCCTATTCCTGCAGCAAACTTTAAAGTTTAAAGTGAAACGCATACTTTCGAAAATTTGTTTCACAAATAACTTTGTCATATAGAAATCCGGATATTGGAGATCTTTTATAAGAATGTTTACGTTTTCTTCATGCCGTATAATAGGTCGCAAAAAATTGAATAAAATCGATTGGCGTTTTTACACAGCAATCGTATCATGTTCTTGGACTTCACTACGGTATTGTGCCAGGAAAAAGTTGTTCACATAAATCGCTTTCGAGCGCAAATATTATTTTAACAAGCTTACTTTGCCGAACGTTCAAATTGCAACGCGCCAATGAAATCACGTGAAAGGAGAAGAGAGAGAGTCACATTCTGAAAGAATTGTATTGCCGTACAAATCGGCTGCGACGATTGTGTCGTGTTTGTCCCATTAAAGATAATCTAAAAACCGCGATTCCTTTCTAGACCGGTTCGTACTTTTAATCGAGAAATATCGAGCGTAGCTATTCGTCCTGCAGACCTCGTACGTAAAAAACAAAACAAAGATTGCACGTTTTACATTAAAATAAGTTTTTATTAACTATTTTTGCTACAATTTGATTTTATAAGAAATTATAACATTTAAAAAAAATAATCGTATAAATTAAATTTAAAAAACAGAATTAAGAAATTAGAATTAAAGTAAATTCTGGAAAATCGCTTCAATGGTGGCTTTTTCATGACATTTACAAATTAAAACGAGTATTAAGTAACAAAGGCAAAAAATTTTACCTCAGGCTTATTATAAATGATTTGATTCATGAATATACAGAATACACACAGGTAAATTGGTTATGTGCCTTCAATTCATTATTGCGATAGATGTAATGAAGCGACGTAGATGAAAGCTTTTCACTCAACCTGAAAGTTATAGTGGAGTAACTGTATGATCTTTCTCTTCTATTTGCTTCGGGTAAAACAACGAGCTTTTCAATCTCGATTCTCGTTAACGCTGTTCGTTCGCTTTGTTGTTTTCACGATTATTTCGATACAGCGCGCACCGGAAATTCTGCACACTTTTTATCGCTTCACTAATTCCGTGATGTTTTCTTAACTAAAATTAGGTCAGCCGTATAATTTGCGTTTGCAGCAAACTTACGATTTAAAATTTACTTTTAAATACATTTTCAAGGAAATGAGAAAAAAAATAACCGCAAAAAGGAGCTTTTTACTCGGTTTACTTCCGTTCAAGCGTTAGAGCACAGCTGCAACAGATTTCATCGAGCAAAATTTTCTCTCAAATGTCTCCGTTTTCATGCAGGATTTCCCGATATCGAGGAATTCAAATCCGTTCTGCTACATTTAATGTAAAATCGATTTTGTCCGGGTGACTGTACGGGTACCAGCAACGTGTAAAGTTTAATTATAAACGCTTATCGTGCGTATTGCGATAATTAATCGTGCGTGATAAGTTTGTTTGCCTTGACGATTCATTGACCGCAATAAAGCGTTGATTAAAGACAAGTTCCGAGAACAATTGGAATTTTACCTATATTGCGAGAACGGCTGATCACCGGTATCTTTTCACGGCTGATCGACCGGTATCTTTTACGCGAGAAGGAAAACTAACTCTTCCAAATGCGGGCTCGGTCTCTAACGACTGGCAACGCACCGTTAGCAGCGGGAAAATTTATTGCTACCAAGGAAGCGAATCACGTGCAACGCATATAGCACACTACAATGTCCGGCGTAAGAAAAAGTACGTGAACATAAAGTTCTCTCATAAAACTTTTCGCGAAAGTTCTTTCGCTTTCTGCTTTTTCTAAATATATATATGTATTTATAACTTCTAGCTTTTATCAAAATTTTCCTACTTATCGAACTCTTGACGTTAAAGTCGTACAAATTTAAAATTTTCTTTATTGTGACTTTAGAACTCGAGTTATCTTTTCATTCTCTCTCTCAAAAAAGCTTCAAAACGTATAAAATATAAATTATGTTTCGACAAGGTTCGATCAATAATGAAAGGTGTGATTCATAAACGAATGAGGGAGATAAAATAATATCTGTCATTTTTGTTATGTATATACTTTAACAATATATACCTATATTTTAACGATGTCGAAATTTTCGTGCAACACTCAGGGCGATTTCGTCTCGTTACGAGTTTATCAAATACGCTCCGTCGTTCATTAAAGCGGCGAATTCAATTTTGCAAAATTCCATCCTTCGTTCCGTTCTCATTTGCGCTGGCGCCTAGGCCATGCGTGGGCGTTTGCGACACGTGAGCGATGTTCGAAATCACGAACTCTCTCCACTGCGCAAATATCAAACCGCCCACACCATTGTTCGCGATGCCGCACACATCGCAGGTATACAGAGCGATGCTGCATGGCAGGAGATACATAGTAACGCGAGAGCGATAAATGCAGCGGCGGAAGAGAGAAAAAAATAGGGCGGGGATATAATCGACAACTCGGTGCGGTTTTGCGGATGCAGCCGATCGCTTTTTAATACTCGTCTCGTAAATACAAAGGCGGACATGATGATGAGAGATAACAATCGGGTGGCTAGGTGAAAAAGCGCACGCCGCGCACACCACGCCTCGCCGCACTACAATCCGATCGATACCGAATATTTACAAGTGCGTCGGAATCGCGTTATTCCAGTATGTATTTTGCGCTACGACATTTGTCAGCGCTTTTAATTAGCGAAAAACATTGCTTGCGATAACGAGAACGTTAAAAATGTAATTTCGAATAATCGATGGAATTCCATTAAATTGTTGACAAGTAAGTGCGAGCGATGTTTTTGACAAATTAAAGTATTGACAAGTGCCATTATGAAAATATACGATACAGAGTATTCTTTCGTAAATATGCGCGCGAATAAGTTACGCGCATCCACGCACGTATCGCCGCGTATATATAATAATCTAAATATTTGTATATATAAATTTCTTTATAAATTAAATTAAATAATATCTATGTATTGCGATAGAGATGCCTTCTTTCGTTCGTTCGTTCTGATTCAACTAAGGTCGGTTCGCAATCACGTCGAAGCTTCCTCGATCAAAATTTAACAATTCGCTCGCGATGCTCGCGAATGAGTCATTGAGATTAATGAGCACACTTTTATTTTTATCGCAACGCTATCAGTTCGTTTCTGCTTGAGACTATATACTCAAGCAACTACGAAGTAAAGTGCAGAATTTATGGAAAATTGCAACCGAACGTATTTTTTTTTTGATCCTCCACAGGATCAAACGGGATAATTGGATATTCATGAGCTTTGGAGAATGCATTGAAATTTCCATCGAAATTTGCGAAATTACTATGGAAATCTAAAATAGGATTTATGAGAGTGAGGAATTGCATGATTGATGTCGAGAATAAAAAGTTTCAAATCGTAGTAACAATCGCATTCTGATCGGTAGCAAACATCCAACAATTTATAAATAAATAAATGAAAATAATATACGTGTTATCACGCGTAATAAATATTGCAGTTTTTGTGTATTTGAAAAATATTTAGTATGCGAACAAAAAGTTTTATCTTTTGTTTACTCACAGAAACAAAAGCTGGTGAATTTATCACTGATTATACGGATATTTATAAATTAATATGAATATTTATCGTTTATCAATATTCAAATTTTTACTGCAAATATTCGTGTCATCAAGTTTACCGAACTGCAAACAACTTTCGTGCATACTGTGATCCAAAAAAATTTATTCTACTATATCTTTTTTCTATACAAATGCATGTTTAGAAAAATATGTATATGTATTTTGAATCACAGTAGCTATACGATAAATTACTATAAATGGTAAATAGGAAGATATACAAGGTATTAAATTGCAAATAGCTGCAAAATTGAATAACAATTCCAACTCGCTTTAAATTGTCCAGCTTTGTTAAACTTATACGAATATTCTATTATATTTTACATTATTTTAATTTAGCCAAACTCGAATTTAAAGATTATTTTTGAATATTATCGATTTGTAATTGAAACTTATAAAATTAATTTCAATACGCAAGAGTAAGAGTATTTTATAATAATTACTAATAATAGATCTATATGCTTTATAGATTTATCAATTAGATCAGATGCACTTTTATATGCATTCGTTAAATATTAGGCAAACTTTGAGCAAACTGAACACTTCGGAAAGGAAAGTAAATACATGTTTGGTGAAAAGAGAAGAGGAAATTTAAGAATGTTACTGAATAAGGAGATATCTGAGGGAATAACTTATCTTAAAAAAATAATTCCATAATCCGGAATTACCAATTTGAAATTTGTTCTAAGATAAAAAGAAATCTAGATGATCGAAATCTTCGATCTTTTTTCGCAAAGTGCGATATATTTATCACCGGTTCGTAATGTCTCTCTGGTACCACAAATTGATATCATTTTTAGTCCTTTACCGAATCGTTGTATCACGTCGGATTTATTTGAATATATCGCAGCTTCACTTGTGAAATTCGAATCAGTGGCGCCACACGTCGTACGAGTTCGCAACACGCACACTGATCCTTGTGAATCCTCGCGCTGGACCCTTTAATCTTTTTCACTAAATTGCACTTGATTCACAGCACCGGCAGATGGTGCCGTTAGCCCATTTGCCGGTCGCCTCGAATGTCCGAAGGAGTCGGCGCGGCTTATGAGCGCAAATTTCGAGTGCAGACACGTACTTTCGCATCTGACAGCGAGAACTGCTCAGAACTGCAGGATTTGATTGATCCATTCGCGAAATTCCGATATGCGCGTGTAAACGCCAGGTTGATTAGGTGCGGCGCAACCGATTCCCCAGCTGATAATTCCGGCAAGGACCCATCGCTTGTCTCGCGTTCTTTGGATAACCATAGGACCGCCGCTGTCACCCTAAAAAACGATCGACAATTACAAATTAAAATATATAATTATTTTATCTAAAAGATATCTAAAAATTATATGAAAAATATCCAAAGCATTGAGGAAACGTTTTGTAATCAAATATTCATACTGTAATTGTACTTAAATAAGGACGTGAAATTTGTTATTTATCCAAAAATGTACGTAGAAAAATAGAACTAACCTCGCAAGAATCAAATCCACCGTTTCTCCAACCGGCGCAGATAAAAATGTGAGGAATGTGCTCGATGTAACCCGCGTTTCTGTACATTGCTTCGCATACAGTATTATTAATAACAGGTACCGCGACCTCCTGTAACACGGACGGCAGTGGTCCCTCTGCAAAAGTATGTAATAATACACCTACATGATGGATAGCAAAATTTATTTTACGGTTTAGCAGAATTATCTGTTTTAATACCGTCATAAAGTCTGCCCCAGCCAGTAACGAAGGCAGTGCGACCAACGAAGGTTTCATCATCGTCGGGTAAACAGATCGGCAGGACGTTCGGCTGGAAGGGTAGAAGGGGCTCGTAGAATCTCAACAGGGCCAGATCGTATTCGAAGGTTCGCGCATCGAATTGCGGGTGGCTCGCCACAATCTGCACCCTTCTCTCCTGATATCCGTACGGTTCATCTTCGTTTGCCAAGTCGTGTTCGCCAATCCTTAGTAATAGATCGCTAGGCGGTACGCTGCAAAAGACGCATTAATCTGTTAACTCCGTAAGAAGCTCTACTTCAAGACAAAATTATTGACAATCTTGCATTTTATTTTAAATAAGAGCGTACATTAAAAAATAGAATTCTAACTTTTAGAGAATAGATTGCAAAGCGGAATAGTAAACTTTAGAAATTAATGACATTAAATAGTAATAAGAAATTTGACAATAAAAATTAGAATTTATATAGGCAATAATAATAAAGAAGTAGAGATGAAATGATACAAAATTCAGAAATTCGGTATTTCTTGTGAAAAAATACAGAACGTTTCGTGATACTCTCGGTGATACTCTATTTCGCCAAGACGATGCGAGAACACGCGTGATAGCCTTCGTCCTTTCGCTTCTCAAATATACTAGATGAGAAAATGTTTGTACAAGCGGAGACAATCTTTTTTCATCGCGCAGAAGGATCGTAAGCGCGAGCGTGTTGTCGCAAAAAGTCTTTGCACTACAATGTTGAAGAACGCTGCGAATAGCTGGTTGGGAAGATCGGCAGAAAATTTAATTATGAGTGTTACAAGACGGCAAACACGTCACCCACCTTTCCACGCAATGTGCTGCGGTAATAGCCCAGTTCTCGTTCAACAATGCCGCGCCGCATTTGTGCAGATACGTCTGCGATCGCCATTGACGTAATGAGATCTGTAAGGAAATTTGTCACGTGAGAGAAAATTAATCGCGTTAATCGCTGTGCGCGATCGTGCCGATCGATCTCCGCTTTATCTCTCATACGTGACAGAGTGGGAGTGATTGCTGTTGTTGGCGCGGAAGGTTACTAGTCATCATGATTACATAAAACATTTTTTTTACACATCTGAAGAAAATATATGTTGTAATTTTTATTCAGACGATAGATCGATTGATATTAATTTATGATGATGATTTATGATTAATTTATCGTGGGAGACAAGTTTTATTCGTATTTTTTATCCTGTAAATCTTGACGATTAAAGTTAATTACGTTTTAATAATTATCCAATTTGTAAGTCAAACATGGTCGTGCAGAGAGAATCACATCTTTAAAAATATATAATATATAAATATTACAGAAAAATAAAGACGATGTATGTTTAAAATAATGTTACAAAGCAAAGTTATAGCGCTCAAAATATTCGCGTAATCAAAAATTGCATTCGGCGCTTACCTGCCAAGGCCATTTTCCGAAACTGCTTCGAGTACCACCGACAATTTTAGGCTCCGGGAAGAGTCTTCGACCGCACACTGCAAGGATAAACATTGTTGAGTTCCAACTTTTTAACAAATTTGCGACTCTCAGATGAGCGGTCATGTTGCAGAACGGATTGTGTTTGTTCGACTGGATGAACCGTTGCGCGGATGCATCGCTCAGTTAATTCTTTTGCCTGTCCGCAGGCGGAATTAGGATTTTTTTTTTATACTGATCATATTGTATGTACGCTCGTGACGCTCATCATGTTGATTACGGGAAATTACCGACGTTGGAATTTATGGCCACCGAGTCATTATTTAAATTAAGTTGCACCAATCACAGCTTAGAGATAATGGCAACTTAAATGGCGGGAAAAAACGATGTAAACAATAGCGTTAGCTAAATGCTAAATTGTAATTATTCAAGTAAAATGTAAATAGGAAAAGTTTTGATATTCTTAGAAACATATTGATTTAAAACATAGAAATAAAATTTTCCAAAAAACTGCAAAAAAAATCTAAAAAAAAATTGTGAAGTAACAGATATATTTCTGATTGAACAATTTTAGTGTCAAAATTTATAGAAAAAACTTGAAAAATTGTATAATGACATAAATTTTTTCTCTGATTCAGCAGAATTATCTTTTGCTTGCTAAATTTAAACATACAATCTCTCTCTCACAATGAGAGATAACAGATGTCTGTTTTATCGAAAGAAAGAAGAATAGCTTAACATTATCACAAGAAAAAAAAATAAAAGCTGTGTGATCTCTGTACGATCAGAAGTTGGATCATTTTCAGGATCATTTAACTAGGACAAAATCGAGCGGAATAACGTGAATTCCGACAGCGACCCGAATCCAGTTCCGCGTTTCACCGATCATTTTGCTTTTAGTCTCGGGACTAGTTCTAGCCGAGTAACGATTCGTTTCGGTCACCCGATCTAATTTGTTTTACTCATGCACCGGCTCATGCATGATGCGCTCGCGGTTCTATTACAACGTGACCGTTCAGTATTTAAGCATTAACCTTGTTTATAGTCCGACATATTGAAGGTGTCCACTGGTACCGGAAGATCTGTGTCGATTGTAACGCTGGCAATTGTTGACAAAGTGGTTATTATCGGACTTAGCGTAACATAGTCAGGAATGGTGGTACTCTCTGTTTCGGGTTTGACTGAAAATCCAAAATAATTACAGATTAATTCATAGTTACGTACTAAATCAATATCGAAACAAAAGTGATACGTTTATCGTAACGTGTTTTTGCACGAAATAAATACTTTTACATACAAAAAGTTGAAGTGCAGCACATTTTTATATATAAATGTAGAATTTTAAAAAGAGAGAGAGTAAAGAGTTTTCAAAGAAAGATTTTATGAGAAACAAATTGTTGCAATGCTAAACTTTGAGTGAGAGGTTGATCTTTCCTTATAATTCGTTAAAGCTATTCCTTTCAAGTTGTTGCTCGTTTGCATGATTACGCCAGCTCTCAAAAGTTCTCCGATTGCGAGCAAACTCTACACAGAATACTCACAAAGGATACAATTAATATGCCTTACCAGAAGTCAAAGACTGTATAGTGGATTCCGCAACCGGTTCGGTCGTCGACTCTTGAGTTTGCGGTAACTTTTCGGTGGTAGGCGACTGGATCATTATCCAGCCATCCGGGGTCGTTATCGGCGACCAATCAGTTTCCGCTTGTTCTGCGAAGCGAACAGATACAACAAACGTAAAGCATACTTGTACTCTAATTAAAAGCGAGAATTTACGAATTAAAGAGCTATCATTTTTTAATTATATCTACAGAACAGAAATAGAGATAATTCGTTGCGATGAGAGTAATAAATAATTCACCGTGAATAAATCAATTTCAAACTCGGCTCGTTCAACTAACGCTGCAGAATATCTTATATATATTTTAAAAAATCATTGAGAAACTTTTTCTTCAGTTCGTGGACCTGTTTCGTAGAACGCCTTCTTTTCGGACAGATACGCTATGTTAATAAGAGGCCGCGTGAACCGGTTTGATTCTCCGATTTGGGGTGCTCGAGAGAAGGGTCGAGTTCTGTTTCTTTTTTTTTTTACGAGGTAACGAAACTCGGAGAACAGTTATTACAAAATAATTCTCGCTGTTACAATAAGACGGATGGAGATAAGTGAGGGAGATGACTGTGATCGCGTCGGTGGACAGCTCGTGGCCGGTTTATGTGAACCGTTACAATGTTCCATCCCAACAGTGTACATATATGTATCACAGCGCCGTGCTATCGAAGCAACGGCTCTGATCCATATAACATTTCATTGCCGTTGTCTCTAGGATCCGGGAAACGACCTTGGCTCGCATCCACGACGAGCAGCACGGCTCGCTCGGAAAGGATAAAGCGCTTATCGAACACCGCGAACGAATGCGGGACGGATTACCTACTTATGCGGCTCGGCGCAGCCCATTTTCGCGCAATTATGCCGTTGCATAATGCAATTACGCCACTTAAGGACGTGTTACGTTCCCCAGAATCTGGCACGCATTCGGATAACATTCGGGAGAAAACCGATTGAAACGCCGATCATGTCGAATCATTGACCCCATCAAAACCACCTGAATCCACAGCTTCTGACAAGGATTCGAGAGTGCGATAATAAAATCCGGAAGAGGAAATTTATAGTACCATTTTGTTCTCTAATAAAGATTGCATATCAGAACGAAGGGATATGTGAGGCATGTTCAGATAAGAGCGAACCAACTATAATATCTGAAGACTGCTTGATGAAATTGCGCTTATTCAAAGCCAGTTCTATAAATATATTAGGGAAGACATGAACGGATGCACGCATGAGATGCTCATCAGAGCAAAAGTGGATTTAATTGCACTTCATACGATTATACACTCACCCGAAAAAAAAGCGGTACACTGAAAATGTGGGAAAAATTCATCAAATTTCAACTGACGATAACTTCGTAAATAATAAAGATAGAAAGTTCTATAAAATATGGAAATGAAGCTAAAAATCTCTACTTTAAGAATCAATTTATTTCAATGTTGCAAAATAAATTTATTGAAAATGGCGGATGACAAAGCGCGAGCATGCAAAATTGAAAAATAATGGTTCGAGTTTGCGACGGTGCACGGTATAAACAAAAAATTGTAGCTTATTGGGATTAAAAGCGTACGAAAGTACAGAGTCTCCTCTTTAAAATGCTTTTTTATGCATCTCGATACGATGATTTTTCGCCGAGAGATTCGCATTTGAAGAAAAAGGCAGATTCTTACTTCTAGGCCTCTCACTTACAGTACAGTCTGCAAATCGTTCTCCAACGCGACGGTATACTCGTTCTCGTCCGTCTGAAGAATACAGACAAAAACGAGATTCGTCGCTAAAAAGAACGGTACTCCATTCTGCATATGTCCAGCCTGCATGCTCGACAGCAAAATTGAATCGAGTTACGCGATGGCGACGCATAAGCGAAGGTACATTTGCTGGCCTGCGCGGAAAAAGACCGTGTTCCGCTAATCTGTTTCGAATAGTGTCAACGGATACATTACATTCGCGGACATCTCTTAAATTGTTTCGAATTTGAACAGCCGTTCGATGTCTGTCTCTTAATGAATTTAAAACAATAAATCGGTCATCGTTTTCATTCGTACAACGAGGACGTCCCGAACCAGGTCTTCTTTGGACAGAATTAGTCTCCAAGTACCTAGCATAAGCACATTGCACGGTTGACACTGATAAATCAAGTGCCTCAGCAACGTACCTTCGACTTCTCCCATCTTCAATTAACGCTACAACTTGAGCAGCTTTTTCAGGACTTATCGTCGCCATAATTGACCAATAATTTCAATGCGAAAAGATTAATTATTGTTTACTTTGACGAAGTCGTACGAATAAGTAACGCGTCTCGAAAGAAAAAGATACAAGAGAAATCAAGCAC